GTGTTTCCCCTGAGATCCACTCCTCTAAAACCATGTAAGTCCATTCAAACTATAATGCTAGCTATTAAGTATGTTATCAAAAACTGAGTTAACACACAGATTCTCACATCACCTCCTTGTGTATGGTGTGGGTGTTTATTTTATCAGAACAGTGCTGTTAGTGTGCCCAGATGAAGACGTCCCTCCAGAGATCCAGTCTGTCTCTGAGCAGCTGAGCAGCACCCAGCACTCCAACAGAGACGTCACCATCATCCTTCTCCTGCACAGCTTTCAGGCTGCTCTGGGCACCAAACACGGCCTGCAGGGATTCCAGACTGCTCTGCAGGTGACTGATCAATGTCTACCACTTGTTTTAAAAGCACATTTCCTCTTTATTTTTTCCCAGTCTCTTCCTAAAACAAACACCTAACTCTTCCTCCAGGCAAAGCCGCCCGAGGAGCTGGATCAGCTCATGGAGGCAGTGACTGACAGCATGGAGACAGCAGCCTGTACAGCAGACCTCGCCCAAGCTAGACAAGGTCTGCTACACAGCATGGAGAGGCTCAAAGAAAGCCTTGCTATCTCTGCTCCTGCTGATGGATGCCCGGATACTGGTAAGAAACTATTAACATGAAATGCCATTGAGAAACTAGAGGGAGAATCCATTTGCATATTGTTGCAATAAGGAAACGTAGTTGTTTCCTGTATGCTGAACTTGCTTTTCAAGACAGTAGTGATTCCTTCATCTGAGTGTCTCCTTCTCTCATTAGAGGATGTTGAGACTTTCATGCTGCCCTTCCCGAAATGTCACACATGCACCTGGGAAAACGACAACTTTGGTAATTCGTTCAGTTTGAACAGCTCTCAAAATGCCAACATTATTTACCAGACATCTCTCACTGTTCTCACTTTTTTTGTCCCTTTCTTCGTGTAGATATTCTGAATCACATTCTCGGAAGTGAGTCAGACCTGGACTCACCTCCAGATTGTTTCCTCAAAACAGAAATAGAGGAGGATTATAGCAATGACACCAGTGTGGATGAGGAGGACGAATTGGAGGGGAACAAGGCGGACCATGAGTTTCAGAACCACCGGATTTCCACTGCGTCCTCTTCCTCGAGGGACTCCAGCTACTCCCTCTCTTCCAGCTGGTCTGCTGTCTCCACGCCGTCTGGCTCATCAGGTGTAGAAAGTGACTTCAGTGAGGACACAACACAAGAGGACACAGAGGAAGGACAACATAGCCAACCAAAGCTTAGAAAGAAACCCAAAAAGAAGTCCAGATCCCTCATGGGCGTGGAGCGCTTCTCAATGCTTTTTAAGAATACCCGCAGCCCGAGCATGTGCCGCCGTGTCCAGAGTATGGGCTACCGTAGTGATTTTACCAAAGACCTTTATAGACCTGCATTGCAGCTCAAACACTCCAGGTCCCTGTCCAAAAAAGTTAATCCAATGCATGCATCCACTGCTGTCCTAGATCCTCTTTCCCCCCAGAAGCATATGTGTGTCCTCAGGAGGCCGATCCTGAGCTGTGACGAAGGCGATGTGGCAGAGGTGCCCACCCTGGTCAAAGTGGTGGTATTTGGAGGTGACAGGGAGGCTGGCAGGCTGGCCAGAGCATACAGTGACCTGCAGCAGAAAGAGAGTAAATGTCCCAGACTCACCAAGACATGCAAACTGCAGTTTTACTTTGTTCCCAGCAAAAGGAAAACAATAGGAAGCGCAGGAGGAGGACACACACCGACTGAAGGGCAGACAGGAAGTACAACCAAAGCTGCTGTCTCTGTGGTGAGAATATCTAACACTCTGTCACATGTCAGCTGATTCAGCTGTTTACACTTTACATACACAGATACAGCAGAATTCCCTTTTTTATAAGAACGCACCCTTTATAATGGGTGTATAAGTTATAACTAATGGCTTTATTCCTGGTTAATAAATGATTTACTAGTGTTTTACAGATTAGTGATAATTCTTTAACTCTGACAGGAGTCTAATGGCAGTCTACTGGAAGACAGTACAACTGATATAGCCCAGATGTTGGGTATGATCGATCCCTGGTACGAGAGGAATGTCCTCAGTCTGCTCAGCCTGTCCTCTGACGTCCTTTGTCAGGTACCCTCCATACTGGCATCATCACCTTTCTCTGGTCCATACATTACATAATAAGTGAAGACAGTAGCTGATTTACTCTGATTAATGACAAGAAGCAATTGTATGAGTTCCTACATTTAACAATAATGTAGGGACAGAAAACAGCTCACCTCACAGACAAAAAGTGTTGTCTTCTTTCAGAGAAGAAGAAGAGGCGTTAGATAAGGGAGGGTTATGTATGTAGGGGAGAATCAGGGTTGGGTCTTTTAACTTTCTCTCATTCAAGATTTATTGTAAAATTGTGGTGCTCAAGCCACAATATCCTAGGAACCACTGCATGTGCTCTGTTCACTCACCCTAAAAGGAAATATTAACTTTAAAATATAAGATTCAGTCCCCCCTCCTCGCCCATTATGAAAGCTAAAATCTACTCCCACATAAAGGTGGTATTTTACCACTTCAGAGATTAAATGCTGGTTCTATTCACCTCATACCACATGTGGGTTTGGTTGTATTGTGAACTGTATGCACATAACTTTCTCATTGTGATCTCATATGTGTGTAAATCAGACTGCCTGTAAGGAAGGCGATGTGTCAGAGAGCAGTGGCAGCATGGACAGACTTCCTCTGCTGGCTGACTTGGTGCTTTATTACTGTAGACATGCAGACCAACCTGTTCTGGTGCAGCTCTACCAGGCTGAGGTAAGAGGAGAACCACACACACACACACACACACACACACACACAGTCTCTCACTCCAGTCAATACCTGTGTGAAATAATAAACAAATAGATATGGTTTTCTTCCTCCACACAGCTTACCCTGGCGGGAGGAGAGAAGAGAAGGGAAGTGTTTATTCACTCTCTGGAGCTCGGACACACTGCTGGAACCAGAGCTGTTAAGGCCATGGGTGAGTAACACTCTGACAAACGCACCCAGGCAGCCACAATGGCATACAGACAAACACAAACACCCACACATATATAGTCTGATGTGTGCTGTCTTTTTGTAGGTGCTGCCAGTAAAAGGTTTGGAATTGATGAAGAACGGGAGGCTGTCCCTTTAACACTAAGTGTTGCCTATAACAAGGTAAAGTTCCTGCTTTGACACCCACAGACTTCTTGCAACACAAACAATATATATATTGAAGTTCACAAACAGAGCTATTTTTTTACATCTGCCCTGTCTGGATTACAGGTGGCTGTTAGTGGGAGGAGTCAGTGGATCCAGACAGACTTGGTTTGCACATCAATAAATCTTTACAAAGCCTGCAGGAAACCTGAGCAGTTAGGTGTGTGACAGTGATACAGCGGTCCCAGGCTTTTAATCACGTTCCAGCAAATATACTAGTAGGTTTCTGTGTCTGCATTGTGATTTCTAAGCAAAGATGTGTCCATTCCGCCCAGATACAAAAATAGAAAGTCTGCAGCTGACAATGACAGAAGTCCTGAAGAGGCAGTGTTCCAAGTCTAAAAAGGGCTACAACCAGGTGAATAGTGGTTTTACGTGTTGAAATGAATCATTATAATCTCATGCACACCCTCCCTGTGAAACACCCCCTTCTTACACCTCTTCTTCCTGCACGTATCCTCTGGCAGCACATCTCCATATCCGAGGTGAAGGTGGACAGGGTGCAGGTAAATGGTGGAGAAGATGGGACAACATTTGCTGTGTGTCTGGATCAGGATGAGAAGAAGTTCATCCAAAGTGTCACCAGGTACAACAGAGCATCATTGCTGACCACCACGTGCTTAAACCTTTAACTAAGTACAGTATTCAAACAAACAGACTAGTCCTTCACTCAGCTTGATTTGTTAGTCATAACCTGTGCATGAATTTATCAGACCCACACACAGTGACTCTGTGTCTTCTGTATGTGCAGGTGTGAGGTGTCTGTGTGCTGTAAACCAGGAAGCAGTTCAGACTGGAGGTCCTACAAGCCCTTACCTGGCCAAGTCCAGCCTCTGCACCCGTCCTACTGCTCTCTGCTCTGCCTTCCCATCACCTCTTTCTCTGCCTCATATCCCTGACATAGTGTACAAATCCATGGAGGTGATTTACACAAGGACGCTTAAACCGAAGCAACATGGGATGCAGAAGATACTGAATAGATGAAAGCAAAGAACAGTACTAATAAAAAGAGTGATCCACATAGATTTCAGGTTTGTCCAGTAGTTGATGTCAAGGTGTGTCATTATGTGATTAGGAGTTGTTACTTTGCCTCCAGTTTTTTTACTCCTGATCACATCTTTGATTGCTGCAGTCACTGGAAGAGAAGGTTTTAGCAATGCTCTATCGGTGGGCACTTGAATACATTTTTGAGAAACACAGTTTTATCAGTGAACCTTATCTGAAATATGCACAAGAATGTCTATTAATTGCTGTTGTTGGTGTTCTTGTTTGAAGGATTTCACAGGGTCTTAAAGGAATGTTACTTGTCAGTCAATAATCCGCTGTCAGAAGCATAAAACTGATTACTTGATTACTATTGTGTACGGTCTGTTGATCCACGACAGAGTAAATCCTGTTTGTTTTGAAGAAATGCATAATAAAATAAGCTATTTATTATCAAGTGACAGCGCTCAAAACATGTTTTGTTATATATTTTTCCAAAAATACATTTAATTATGTTTTTGTATGTTACACAATTGCAATAAAATCATCATTCAGTCAGCTCAGTTTATTCTTTGTTTTCCCTGTTTAGAAGTGACTACTTTTCATGAACTTCCTCTTATGAGTCACTCACGCCCTATCTCACTCATACAAGAAACACAACCTGCTACTATCACATTATTTTACTTAAAGGTAGCAGCAGTGGAGAAACCTCCAGAGGAAACTATTCTCAGACATTTAGAAACATAGAAGCTACAATGGTAAACTCTGAATTGCTGCAGACTGTGTAACTTATTGATTCTAAAGAGCAGAAGATGGTTGATCCTACAGGTAAGTGCTTTTATTTCCTCTTTAAGCGTTTGAAATTACTGTAATAGACAAAGTTGTTTTGCAGCAGGTTGGAGCTTGAAGTAGTAGAATAATAAGTCGTTATCACGATATAACAGTGCATTAAAAAAATCCATGGCCGTTCTCGGCTTCCGTAGGGTTAATCATGATAAGTGTATAATCTTCACTTGTAGCTGATGTGGTTCTTCTAAGTGTGGAATCCAGCCTGCACACCAACGTCCAGGCTCTTCTCAAAGAGATGAACAGTCAAAGTGCTTCACAGAAAGGTATGTAAAGCACTTAGTGGCAAATAAGTTTGAATGTTTGAAAGCCTGAAACAATAATATATTGTATAAGGAGAAAATGATACCATTCTCATGTCTTCAGTATCTACCAGGCTGCCCTGGTTTGATACCTTTTGACAAAGCCAGACTAGCTGTTTCCTTCAATTTCCAGTGTTTATGATAAGCTAAGCTAACCGGCTGCTCACTGTAGCCTTATAATAAACAGACAGACATGAGAGTGGTATCTTTTTATCTAACTCTAGATTATTAGCTAAATTTGTTTCACACTGTGTAATGTGCACAGCTAATTATAAAGCAAACTGCTGTCTGTCTGCTCTTCAGGAAGGCTTAGATGGAGTCTTCATAAGAAGTTGGAGAGCGATCCATCCTGCAGCGATTCAACGATCCGAGTGCTGGTCAAAGAGCTGGAGAAGAAGCTAAAGGGTGTCAGCCAGGTTTGCTCCTTCAACTCTGCTTTCACATTTCAAAGTCATTTCAACATTTATTTTAGATTTCAAAAAGCTTGTATGTTTCTCTCTTTGTCGTCAAAGTTTTTTTTAACTGCATATAAAGCTAATTTTAATGTAACTTTGTTTTTGTGTTTGTTTTGATACAGATGAATAAAACACGATCCTACATGCATGTCATCCCAGTGCTGCACACTCTCTACTATGTGGTTATTCAGGTAAGGCACAAAGAAAAAAAGCTTATTACTGTGGACCAACAGACTATTGAGTATGGATTATTAGTAAGTAAGTAAGTAAGTAAGTATTTGTTGTCTTATTGTGTCTCTCCAGTCAGGTGCCATGATCCCTACCAGTCTGTACCAGGTAGTGTATGAGTGTTTGACGAAACTGCTGATACTACCTTTGCCTTACTCTGCTGTGGCCCTGAGCACTCTCAGGAGCATCAAGGTGGAAATGATCACACCAGGTATTGTACATTATCGGAGGGCACACACCTTCAGAAACACAATCCAGTGCTGTATGATGCTGTAAATTAAACAGACTAATCTTTAACTCAACAGGCTCCTTGTATCAGAGGAGAGTTATTGCAGAGCAAAACCTGAAGAATGAGCATTTCACTTTGCAAGAAAAGTGAGTATATCCTCTGAATGACTATTATAACTTGAACTTGAATTTATGAAAATGGTGCAGACTTTAACTCTAAAAAACTATTTTATCACAACCATTGTCTCCTTCCCTGTCTGCCGATTTCTCCAGGGTGTTTGTGCTTGCTGATCCAGCTGTGTTTTCAGTTCGACTGGAAGCAACAATAAGAGCATACTTGGAGGTTTCCAGTTCTCTCAGGACAACTCCAGCCATGGAGAAAAATGTGGTGCTACGTGTGCTGCAGACAGGGCTGGGGACGATGAGCGGCCAAAGCTCCAGACTGGCTCAGTCTCTGGACGTAAGCAGGTTTATGGACTAGCAGGTTAAATTGCACTCTGCTTTTCAATTCCTCTTTTAGCTGTTTTTCTAAATGTATTTTATCACTTGTATTTTTATTTGTTACTGATTTTAATGTGTTATTGCCCTTAGTGTCTCTTTTGTTATTTTGTTTTGGTTTCTGTAGCACTTTG